CAGTAAAGAAAATGCGATTTTTTTTCCCGTATCTGCTTCTTTGTACAACTGCATACCCCTTGTAAGTAGAGATAAACCATCAGGTGAACTAGTCTACTTTTCTGTACTGCATTTATCTTATCAGTATACAGTATCTGACATGCATATATTAGCTACATTCCTTTCAAAAAATATCTGGGGAGAAAAAGGCTCTTAGATAAGTACATAGGAAACTAATATCAAATTATACAAAAGATTAACAAGCACAGTCCCTTACTACATCAGGGATTTTTAAAATGATTTTTTTTTTTTTAATTCTGATTTTAGACAATGAATAAAGGAAGATAATATCCACATTCATGACACCAAAAAAGATCAGGTAACAGAAATTACAGAGAAAGCTACTATTTTCTTATAGGTTTTCAACAAATCCAAAATCAGGCAGCTGATTTATGGCTTATATTCTTACTGTATTTTCTCAAGGACAGCCTGGGTTAACATCATGAAGTCAGTGAGGCTACATCAACACCAAACTGAAGCAAATGAACAGTGAGGCTGCTTTATGCACATGGGCTCAGAGCAATTTGTCTTAGCCACCCCTTTATTATCTGATCTAAAAATTAGGTCAAATCCTGCAGCTATTGTTTAGTCTTTATCAATCAGATGTATTTTCCAGTGGGTTTAACTCCACTCTCCGTTACACAGGCTCAGGCCTCATTCATCCTTTTAACAGGAATTTTGCCCTGCTAGGTTTTATCTGTTCAATGACATCAGTCTTGTTACATAAAATTCACATTAAAACTTTATATTGGGCTTGGGTGTTTTTCAACCAAAGATAAAGCTACCCAAACCCCCTCCTTCCTCCCTCCACAAAAGTAACGTCTTTTTAATTGAGCAGAAAAACTGTATCAAAACATATTAGTGACTCCTAGTGCTCCTGATAAGATGTGCCTAGAATAAACAAGAAATGTATGAATAAATAGGAAATGCATTTTAGCACTTTCATAGGCCAATATCTCAGAAAATTATCTTTCCAGCTCCACCAAGATATACATCAGGTGTCCCTAGTTTGTTGGTTACTGAGGTATCTAGAATGGCAAAGTGAAAATTAATCCCAACAAATGTGCTATTTTAAGAGGATGAAATGCTCAGCTCCGTTCTCATGGGGGGACCAACGCCTCAGGAAGATGAATACCATGAAATAGGAAAAAAGCTGAAAATAATGATGTTTCTACCACCTATTGTTTCTCCTCCTTTTCAGAAACAGCCTGCACAGAAACGAGTGATTTCCTAGCATACTCGTCATCCAGGAGTGCAATGGCGAGACGCCGCTAAATGCCCTGAACACTTAGAGAAGCCAGGATGTTGGCTTTGGACTCAGACTCTTTTCCTGTTTATATTGCTAGCATGGGCAGCCTTTGAAAACCAGCAGCATCTTCACTCCATATTTATAGATTACTCCCTTCCTGAATAACTGAAGCTCTTGGCCGGAGCAATGTTGCAATTGATTTTCACAGAGAACTTTCATTGACTAGGTTGTTATGTACTTTCTGACACATGCCTGACCCTGCATTAAACAAATACAAGCCGCTTTTCCAGGATGCACATTTTTCACACTTTCAAATTACTTTTCAGTTAATTCTATTACACGCTCAGTGAACAGAGATGTTGAATGCTATTTTTTTTGTTTGTTTTAATAGAGTGCAGCTCCAGCCCTTGAGAGGACACAATAATTCCAGAATAAGACTGGTGGGCATAAGGGAGAAAAGAGAGAAAACGAAGGAGAAAAGAAGGAGAAGGAGAAAGAGGATGAGGAGGAGGAGAGGAAGAGGGAGAAGGAGAGAAGCTTTTCTTAATGTGCTAGGTATGGCTAGTTATGTTACAGTTGTACCTGTCGAGATGAAATCACCAGGTTCAGATATTAAAATAAATAATAATATGACTTAAGCAGAGGACTTTACGTGCCCCATCTACCCCTCACCTTTCTCAAAGGTGTCATTGTTCACTTTTTGTACCAATTAAAAGTGAAGACTGCATTGGTGACAAACATGCAACTACAGAGCTGGAGAGCGTGGACTCTTCTGCCCCTCTTAAATTTTGGAGATCCTTGATTTTCTAGATTAATAAATACTGCATGGACCCTACCTTGCATCCCAGACTCATGGCACATCATGTAGCCATCAGAAGACTTACCAGCTGTGTTTAAAGTTTAGATAGGAAACTATTGTATTGCCACTACAGATTCAATCTGCTGAAGTCAAGGCTGTGAATATAGACAAGTATCGGTATATCTGAGTCAACAGTTTGAAATAAGGATCTTGTAGATCAAATGACATCACAAAGTAAGGCATATACCCCACATCATATGTCTGAGTTGCTAAAAAAATAGTCCTGAGTTACCCGAGAAATTTATAGAAATCTGTGAAATTGGAAATGGACAGTTTTGCAGAGAATGTGCTTTTGCTGCTCTCTGAAAATCTGCAGTTTGAAAGCCTAACACTTCAACTCTTAATCCGAAGGAGTCTAACTGATTTGCCTGTGTCACAGCTGCCCAAGAACCCCAAATTTAGGAACAAGAGGTTAAAAAAACTTCACTAAAATACAAAGCCACGTTTCAGTTGCAGACACATAAAACTCCCTGGAATTTATTTAATTAGACTGTTTTAAAAAAAACCACCAAGACTCTAGAAAAATCACTGAACTGATTGTTCCTCTCTCTCCAAAATATGGTAAGAAAAAGAAGCAAACTTTATATTATGAGTGCCTTCAACAGAAATTTGGACACCTGGGAGGAAATGTCAATTCATATAAAATAACTTGCATACACTTACAATGATTATGTGTTATATAGAAATTAAGTGCATGGGTATGGCAGTATACAAAAGTTACTTAACCATCAAGTGAAATACACTCAGACTTCTAAACTGTGTTAATTTAATGGCCATCTGTCAAGGGCTAACTGGCAGGACATGAAAATCTACTTAATGAGTTAACTTAGGAGTCATAATCTAAAAAACCTGTTCAAACAGTGCTAAGCCTCTCTGAAGTGCTGACTGCTTAGAAGAAAAAAAAAACAAACCCTGAAATTGCTCTCTTTTGTTTCAGTGTAGAAAAAGAGAATCCTCAAAGTCTTGCAAAGTTTCCTGCCATTGGAAAGCACTATGCACATATGTAATGGTGTTTCTGATTTTGCAGGAAGACTGTCTGTACAATAATTTTAATTCCCCTTAACCCTGGGGAAATTCTTCTCTGAGGTTAGTCCTGAACTCAAACATACAGGTTCTCTACTTCCAGTCAGTTACTTGGACTAAAAGCATTTGAAAATGGCTATTTAAATTGCACCTCCTAGATCTGTACCTGGGTATTTACACAGAAGGTAACTCCTCTTCAAGGATTTAACCCCATAATACTTTCGCAAGAACAAAAGGAGAATCAAGCCCTAAATGGAGAGTTTTAAATGACAGAGAGTCCTTCCTCTAACATGTCTGTGAAAAGCTTTATTTGGCTGGAAGAGTTCTCTTCTCTCGTTATAAATTGTTAGGCACAGTGCACGAAATATAAGCATGCTGCAAACCCAGCTTCTAAGGACCTCTTCTCACAAAATGTGTTTTTGCTGAGGTGAAAACAGTGGAAGAGATACAATTCCGGATGATATATTTTGTTCCCATTATACAAATCAGGATTTCATCGTGTGAAAGAGAAATGGGAGTTCCCAGCATGACTACTCTATTACAAAGAAAAGCACCTCTTTGAAAATGAATGAATATTAAATATTTACACAGTCAAATGAAGATCTGTTTTCAGGGAACTGGTTGCCCCGTGTTCTTGGGGTCTAAGCTGGGAATGGTTCAAAATAAATACTGAGGTTAGTAGCCATGAATAACAACGATGAAATATTAGGGTTGAGATGATCACTTTCAATCTCCTATTACCAATCTGATTACATGATACAGTAAACACACACTTTCTTCTTTGTTAAGGAACAGCAGCTTTATTATATGATTGCAGAGATACCTATTTTCAGCTTTGCAGAAAAGTACCTGGGGGTTCTGGTGGACACCAAGTTCACCATGAGTCAGCAATGGGCCCTTGCTGCAAAGAAGGTGAATGGTATCCTGGGCTGCATTAGAGAAAAAGTATTGCCAGCAGGATGAGGGAGGTGATCCTTGCCCTGTATTCAGCACTGGTGAGGCCACACCTGGAGCAGTGGGTCCAATTCTGGGCTCCTCAGTACAAGAGAGACATGGACATACTGGAGAGAGTTCAGCAAAGGGCCACAAAGATGACTACCATCTTTCCTACAAGGAAAGGCTGAGAGAGCTGGGACTGTTCAGCACAGAGAGAAGGCTCAGGGGGATCTCATCCATGTGTACAAATACCTGAAGGGGGGCTGTAACGAGGACAGAGCCAGGCTCTTTTTGCTGGTGTCCAGTGACAGGACCAGAGGCAATGGGCACACGCTGAAACACAGGAGGGTCCCTCTGAACAGCAGGAAACACTTTTTCGCTGTGAGGGTGACCGAGGACTGGCGCAGGCTGCCCAGGGAGGTTGTGGGGTCTCCCTCCCTGGAGGAAGCCGCCTGGAATCAGTCCTGGGCAACTGGCTCTCGGTGGCTTGAGCAGCAGGGTTGGACCAGATGATGACCAGAGGTCCCTTCCTGTCTCAGCCATTCTGTGATTCTGTGAAAGGAACAGCTGTCACCTCATTTCATAGCTTTCTTCGGTAATAACCCTACTCATTAGCTTCAGACACTTTTCTTGAGACATGTAACTGCTGTACTCAAGAAATATTGTTTTTGATGCTTTCCCCCCACACAAAAGAATGAGATTTTGCTCTTAAGAACAGGGTAACCCGAAATTCTTATGAATGCTTCTGAAGGCCTTAATTTTAGTATGCATCAATAACTGCAGAAAGTACAAAGCCTAACTTGTCAGAAGCAAAATCTCTCTCCCAAACGGCAGAAACTGCACTTCACCTCACCTAAACACCATCGACTCAACATGCAGAGTAAAGACACTCACATGCAATGCGGACGTAGGCTTTCCGGCTCTTGGTGGTGCCTGCAGAGCTCCAGGCAACGCACTGGCACCAGTAATCTTCGGGCCCGAAGAGCTCCTCGACTTGCTGGCGGGAAATCTCAATGCTTACCTCTCGGACAATCAGACCTGTCAGGGTACAAGTAACGCTTGTCAATGTTATGCTTACAGATAGAAAGGAAGAAGTGTAGGAACAGAAGTCTTCTTGCAAAGTTGTTGTGAGGCCTTACAGCTCTCTATCAATATCTACTCAGCAACACGGACTGTCATAAGGATGTGAAGGAAAAAAAGCCACACTTTATCTGTATAATAAGAGAAGTGGGTGAGTGAAAAACTCATCAAAGCGATTTTGAATTTTATTACATACGGCACATGTTAGACAAATAAGAGGAACAGCACCTCAGCTGATATAAATTGTACCATGTCCCTAGGACAATTTACATCAAGTGACGATCCAGCCCAGTTTTATTTTCATACGAATATCATAAAACCACAGAGTCATTCAATTTATATGACTCCCTTAGCCCTCCTGTATTTCATCTCCTTTTGCTAGACAGACACAGCACAGGGAGAAGACTTACTCACTCTGACACTGAACTGCCCAGGAAAATGGATTTTACCATTGTAGAAAATGTCCTGATAGTCTGTAATGATGGGCACATGTGCTGCAGTACAGTTATTGCCAAGCTGCCAGTTTGGGGACTATAACTGCCATATACACTGCAGATACTGTGATATTTTTAGGTGATTTTATAACACACGGCAATACACTTCAATGCCTGACGGTCTCCCTGGCCCTGCCCTCCATAACGCATCTCAGCGCAACCCCCCCAAACCCACAGCCACACCGACGATGACAGTGACCCACTCGCTATCCTTCCAAGCAGACTGATATTTGCCCACATTTCCCATACAGTGGTCTCTGTTGGGAAGCTGTTTTGCTTCTTCTAAGTGCAAGGAAATATTGTGGTGTCTCAGACACCACTGCAAGGATCGTTGGTAATGTGTTGATCCTCTAACGACAACCACTGTGTTTCATACTGACATAACCCTATTCTCTGCCTCAAAATGCACTGCCTGGTCAAAACGCTCTTAATTCCACCCAAGATACTGGGCAGGGGTGGGAGAGAGTGCTTACACCTCTTGTCAGCATATGTGGTGTTTGTTGCTGATGCCAAAGTATCAATAAACTTCTAAAGTGTATCTGCCTGTAGAAAACACCACCGCCATTTCAAAAATGAACTCTTGCAAACAGCCTTGAATATATAAATTCACAGATAAATATTTTGTGTAGTGGGACTGATTTTCTTTTTCCTTCCAGAATTGCCAGGAAACTCAACTGAAAGATCCTTGGATCACAGCATGCACAGTTTGTCCCCATCACCAAACACCAAAGGGCAGGTCCTTCTGCTGAGCACAGACTTGAGCCCATGGAAGCCAGCTACCCTCAGCCTCCTGCCACACGGCTTACAAGGTGATATTCATAACGTGAATGCTCCCAGTTGTACAGCACAGCGCGTTCCTCAAGCACTGGAAACCAGGCCAACCCTTTGATTCGCCTCCAGCCTCACAAAGGCTCCATTCAGGGAGCCAACGATTAATTACTGTTTATACACACTTGTGCACTGTCATTGAGGCTGCATGCTGTTTGCATCCAAAACTTGGTTAACAACTTAACAGCAGAAAGGAATTCATGCATGTAACACCATAGACTTCTCTGGTGGGAATGCCTTCTAATGAGATGCGTTTTCCTGATAGAGACTATCACAGCCTAGCTCCCTTTTTATTTCATTATCCTTGACATCTTTAGCCATTGAATAATCAGCTACTTTGGGGGAAACACGTAATAGCTTTCCTCCTTGAAATGAAATACTCAAAATATGGCAACTGCACTCCAAAGAACGGAAATCAAAGTGGTGCATGGGCATGTGACATGTAGTGAACACTGTGTTATAAACTTGTTCTGCTTTGATGAGCTAATTTGGCTCCAAAATGGGTCTGAGGGATAGCTTTTGTCCTGTTGAGAAGAGCATGAAGAGGGTGGGGAGGAGGCATGTTCATTACATGCATAAAAATGGTTATATTTTCCCAGTGCAACTGTTGCTAGCCTAAAGATTACTTCAGTTCATTCCCAGTTTTTACAGCACTAGCCCAGGGAGCCTTTGAAGGTTACAATATTATGTTTTTATAATAAGGCTGATCATGACAGAGCTTGATGGAGCAGTGAACTTTGTTACCCGAGGGCTAAAGCAAGCAGGCTCATAACGACAGTACTGGTTAATAATGATTATGAAATAGTCTTAACATTCAGGACACAAATGCCGTATTCTGATAGTCTGTTGAAGATACAAAACCATATGATAAATAGCTCCCACTGAATACAGCAGCAGAACTTTTTTATCTCTGGCTTCCTGAGACGCTTTCTAATTTAAAATAACAGGCTACTCCAGGTAAGGTCTTCTGGGACAGTCGTGAAGTACTGATAGGTTTCAGGTTATTCAAAGTAATTTGGCCTTTGATCTTTGAGTAGTATCAACAGTTGTGCCATGACCAAAGAGATGGACACCTTCTTTACATACGAAATAGATGCTGCCTCTTTCTGCTTACAAGCAAAAAATATTGCGTCTTTTGACTCTAAGGCAAACTATTTTTCCTAGAGTTCACAATGTATCAAACCAGTTGGTGATGCCATGAGATCATCTGGGATGTAAGGATCCATGGCAACTCGAAGCTGATTCAACTACTCCTTCCCAGCATCGCCCATTGGCACCTCATTGCACAAGCAGCCACATCGATTTAGGAGAAACATCTCACCAGCTGAAATGCATCGAGCCTCAAATTCTGGGGCAAGCGCAAAGAGACGCGTGTCCCTTGTTGTACCAACTCGCAATCCTATTCCTTCTGCTAACACACTTCAACATAACCCCTAATAGAAAATCCCTTTCTAGACTTGATTACAAAAAGTGCAATTTGCTGAGATACCTCAGATAGCAACTGCCTTGTTACCAGCTGACATACTGCTGTACACCAGATTGCACAGAGGAGCCGGTACAGTCTGTCTGATTTCATTCAGGAGTGTATCGCTTATCCACCTCACGTGGGCACCAAGTGCAGGACAACCCTGGTATGATGCCTTCAAACAGAGATCTTCATCTTATCCCTGTTGAAGCTGCTTCTGCTTCTACATCAAAGAAGAGAGTCATAAAAAAAAAAAAAAAAGAAAAAAAGAAAAAAGCCAAAAAACCCATTCCTACCCCTGTTGAAGCTGCTTTTGCTTTTAAATCAAAAAAAAGAGTCAAAAAAAAAAAAAAAAAGGAAAAAAGAGAAAAGCCGAACAACCCATGTCTCAGTATTTCCAGACAATATGACATGCTGTGCCTGCAGTTCAGGCAACTGTTTATCGAATTGTTTGATTACAGGTGACTGCACAACCTCCGAGTGCAAAAGTAGAAGTCACTTTATAAAATGAGTCCCAATATTTTGCCTAAATATATTTAGGACAAGAGAGATTAAGAGATTAGCAGTAATTTATGCAGCGTATAACCTACGTGGTATCAGCCAATTCTACTTTGCCAAAGTGCTAGGTAACAAAACGTCACCCTCTCACAGAAAATATCTCCGCCACCCACCTTACCTTCTTTGTTAGAAATATCTTGAATTTTTCAGTCTTGTTCCTCATATGGCTAAGCTATACAGCAGGTGAAGATATGCAGCATAAATGTTTTCTTACAACACTTGAGTAAACTGCACATTTCCAAAATTAATATAATCACATAGATGGTGGCACAATCCACAAGAAATCAGGATATTCCTATTTTAAAGCAATGCAATAAGAAACACAGCTGAAGGGAGATAACAGATATGCGGGCAGCTAGAATGCTTGACAGGGCCCTTCTAATGCGTATAAATCCATAAAGAGCATCTATATAGTATTTCTAACTCGTACTCTCCCTGCGATGAATAGCTAGAATATGACAGGGAAAAGCATTTGCTTGCACTGTCCAAACTTGATTTGCATTCAACAAAGTGAGAACCGTTTCTGTAGCCTCTTGCAGCCCATCTGGATCTTGAGTATGAAGACAGATATGTGAAGATATTGGGTCTAATTATCACCACCCTATTTCTGGCAACAAGAAGACTGTGAAGAGAAGAGCTTTAAAATGAAAATCCAGAAAATCAAAGTAATTTAAAGCAATTCTCCAAAATAAACAGTAATTATATCTTAAGATTGTTTACTGAAAAAATCACAGATCCTTAAAAACGCATCCCCAGGTTGCTGGGCTCTTTCTGCACAAGCATTTCTTTCTGATCTCAGTGAATAATTGCAGCATTCCCAAGACAGAAGCAATGTAAGAAGTTTTACAACTTGAGTACGAGGAAGTAAAAAAATCTCAGGAAAAAACAAAACCAAAAATATTTGCTGTCCTCTCTGGGTCCTGAGTATACAGATCTGGATCTGCTGGGTTATAAAAGACGTCACAGAGGTTGCTCAAGGCTGGGGCTATTTATACACACAGATCAGTCAGATTTAATACACTTACGTAAACCTGGCACCAGAAAAAGACATTATATTGGTGGAATTTCCCTAATGGCTACAAAACCCTGTAGCCATTAGGAGACTAAATAAACCAGTCTAAGATATCCTTTTACCCCTAATAGTTCTCTGTCCAGTTGAGGACAGAGTATGGCTTACAAGAAGGCTCGGGGCATTTGGCATAATCAATCTGCAATTATGTCCCAGTCCCATGAATTAAATAGGTTCTTCATGAGTGACAATTTTACATATTTAGTAGCACAGCATATAAAATTATTCATTTCAAGAAAATAAATGTATCTCTGGGACTAATACAACTTGCGCTCTGAAAAGGAGTAGGAAGGAACCAGAACTTTACTTCTTTCTGTATTTGCACGTTAATGAGGGATTAATGGGCGGAGAGAGGCAGAGGGCAGAGGGAGCCTTGCTCAGTCTGCCTACTGCTAATGTGTGCAGCCAAATGAGCACAGGGGAGAGGCACTGGCTGATGGTATATATCAAAATAAAATTACTACCCCTCCTGGAGCAAAGGGAAGCGTGAAGAGGGAATTGTGCCTTATATACATGGTCTTTTATTATAAACTGTATCCTAGAA